TGGTAGGCTGGCTGGAGGCAAAGGACAGGGAGAGGGGGTGAATGCTGGCCGGAGGAGTGGGGTGGAGATGGGGCACAGGGTGGCAGCGCCTTGTGGCAGGAGGGCAGGTGTGGAGATGGAGGGGAAGCTGCAAGGAAGAGTGTGGCGTGACGTGGAGGTCCAATGACATGTTCCCCGCAATGGGGCAGAGACATCCGCCTGCTACCCATGGGAGGTGGGGGTGGTGGAAAGAGACTTCTGAAGGCCATATGCATCCATGGCAACCCTAACCCTTTCCTAGTCATTGCGATAGCCTAGTGGTTTCCAACCTTTTCCAGATGGCGACCCATTCAGGAAGACTTGGTGACCCAAGGCAATTCAAAAACGGGGGGAGGAGGGGAGACAGAGCCACCTGGGGAGACACTTGGAGTCCCTTTTGAAATGTAATGGCGACCCATATGTGGGTCCCGACCCATAGGCTGGGAAACCCTGCTATAGCCTCTTAGTTAGAGGGAGACCTTGACTGCGACCCAGAGTCAAGGGTTTGAATCCTGCCTTCCCTGATTTCTGCTATTCAGACCTGAGGAGGGGCAGGGCGGGAGGCCATCTCTGGCCAGCTCCGTGTCTTGGCTGTAGCGTGCAGGCGGTGGGAGGCCCTCTCACCTCTAAGACGCCGTCTCCGGCCATGGAGGCTTTCAGCATGAGGTCGGTGTCGCCCAAGTTGTTGTGTTGGAAGAGGAGCCGTCTCCTGCGATGCTGAGCCAGCTTCCAGCAGGAGAGCGCAAGGAGCATCCCGATGACCAGGAAGGCCAGCAGGGGGACAAGGATCATCAGGAGAAGGTTCTTCAGAGAGGTCGGCGTTTCGGGCTGCACTTCAGCTGAGGTGGGGAAGAGGATGAGCTGAGATGGAGTCCGGGGGCAAATGCAGTAAGGAGGCTGGCCTCTGCCCGGCTCTGGCGCATGGAGTCAGAGCAGACTCTGGGGCATGGGCGTTATGTATCTTACACTCTAGGACAGGGGCGGGGGGACCGTTGGGGGGGAGGGCTGCTGACCCACAGAAAAAACAGTCGGGGCCGCACACAAGCAAGAAGCAAAAATAAAAACAGCCCTGACTGACGTGGCCCCCGACTGAGGAGAAAGATCCTCCCCACGTGCCCCTCACACACCAGAGCCTGGGGGGGCCCAGCCTGGTAGATTTTGTGTGCTCCAGCCCTGCGGTGGGGCAGTGGGGGAGGCTGGAGCCTTGGGGGCCTGAGGTTCCCCACCCCTGCTCTAGAGCCATGCAGGGCCAGCCTCAGGACAGCCAGGGTCTGAAGGGGCCAGTGCTACTCCCCTGGAGCCCTGAACAGTTGCTGGGCAGCTGGCGGAGAGTCCGACAGCAGACGCCACCCACCCCCTGCGGATAGCTCCCTCCCGTTGAAGGAGCAGGGCAGAGCCTGCGGGGCCCCAGGGAGCACCGACTGCGGGAGGCAACAGCCCAGCGGCTGAGGTCAGGGCTGGGAAGGGGGCCCAGGCAGCTGCGGTGAGGTGCAGCTGTGCAAGCAGGCAGCGTATTGCACTGGAGAAAGGGCCAGTGTCCAAAAGGAAAGAGGCCTGCATGGACCGGGGTGGCCTCCGACTGATTTCTGAGGGAATTCCGGTCTCCCCAAAGGCTGCTGGAGGGTTCCCCAAGGCAAGGGGTGAGAGCCTGGGGCAAACAGCCAGTGGGGGAGCCCCCTGCTGCCAGCCAGCCTGGGCACAGTCAGGGGAGACACAGCCGGGCTGTACCTTCCAGGAAGATATTCATGTTCTCGTTGCACATGTTGGAGTTGCAGCAGCGCGTGGCGTATTCCTTCTCCGAACTCGAGCACTGCAACTGGGTGTCTTTGCCCAGGCAGCCCTTCTTCTTGAATACCTTCCCGCTATCCAGATTTTTGCTCACAAAACACACCTTCCCCTGGCAGGTGTGATTGTTACACGACTCCAAGTCACAGGCACATGTGACCTTCTCTGTGGGACACAAATGAGGCAGCACGATTCACGGACGGAGCGGAGCCGGGTGGGGCACATTGGGCTCTCTCCACATTCCAGCAAAAGGCGTTATTCCTCGTAGAATGAGGTTTACCGCCGTTGACAAAACTACCACGTTCTGTCGACTTACTGTTGACAGAACTTGGCTGTAGTGTAGACGCAGGTATAGTTTCGTCGACAAAACCCTGTAGTCTAGATACACCCTGAGGGTATGTCTACACTACAAAGTTAATTCGAACTAACAGACGTTAGTTCGAATTAACTTTGATAGGCGCTACACATACAAACCGCTAGTTCGAACTTAATTCGAACTAGCGGAGCTCTTAATTCGAACTAGGTAAACCTCATTCTACGAGGTCTAACGCCTAGTGCGAATTAAGTAGTTCGAATTAAGGGCTGTGTAGCCCCTTAATTCGAACTAGTGGGAGGCTAGCCCCTCCCCAGCTTTCCCTGGCGGCCACTCTGGCCAACCCCAGGGAAACTCTACTCCCCCCCTCCCGGCCCCGGGGCCCTTAAAG